ACACCTGATCTACTGAAAACACCCCCTAAGGAAAAGCCTAAAACCAGACAGAATGTCCCTACAAAACCCAAACTTGTCCAAGAGCCTGAATCAAAAGAAAGTCCAACAGCAAGATACACAGAAAAACCTAAACAAAATGAGACATCTGATGAAAATCCCTCACATGTGTCTAATTCTAATCAAGATTTAATAACTGGAAAGAAGACCATGCCTGATTTACTGAAAACACCCCCCAACCAAAAGCCTAAAACCAGCCAGAACATTCCCGTGAAACCTAAACCCACCCAAACGTCTGAATCAAAAGACAGTCCAACAGCTAGCTACACAGAAATACCTAACCAAAGGGAGACATTTGATGAAAATCTCTCATACATCTCCAATTCTACTCAAGATTCAACATCTGGAAAAAAGACCATGCCTGATCTACCAAAAACACCTGGCAACCAAAAGCCTAAAATCACCCAGATCATCCCTACAAAACCCAAACCTGTCCAAGAGCCTGAATCAAAAGAAAGTCCGACAGCTAGTTATGCAGAAAAAGCTAAACAAAATGAGACATCTGATGAATATCCCTCACACGTCTCTAATTCTAATCAAGATCCAACATTTGGAAAGAAGACCATATCGGATCTAATGAAAACACCCCCCAACCAAAAGCCTAAAGCCAGACAGAAGATCTCCACAAAACCCAAACCTGTCCAAGAGCCTGAATCAAAAGAAAGTCCAACAGCTAGCGACACAGAAAAACCTAAACAAAAGGAGACATCTGATGAAAATCCATCACACATGTCTAATTCTAATCAAGATCCAACACCAGGAAAGAAAACCATGCCTGAGATCATGAAAACACCCCCCAACCAAAAGCCTAAAACCAGACAGAACATCCCTACAAAACCCAAACCTGATCAAGTGCCCAACCAACCAAGCCATTCAAAACCTGGGACAAGCTTCAAGCCAAAACCGAATGTAAGGCCCAAAACTGGCCCCAAACCACCAGAAACCAGTCACAACTTTAAAACACCTAAGCTTGGAGAAACGCCTAATCTGAATGCCAAGCCTGCACCTCGGGCAGAGTCCAATAGAACGTCAAAACCAAGGCTTCCCTTCATTTACCGACCACGAAGCATGCCTACAGTTAGGCCAGGAGCACCACCAGTTCAAAGGCCAAAACCAGCAGTGCAACCAAAGCTAAGTCCAAAGACCAAAACAGATCCACCTAACACCAGCTGGACTACTTCAGATTACACCCAAACCTCTCAAATCAACACGCCTTCTACATCTGGCCCCATAAAGCATACTGCTGAAGTGACTCATTCCCCAGGGGACAGAGAGTTCAATCCCAGTCTAAGTAAAACTGTCACTCCAGGTCCAAAGACCTCCAACAGTCTGGAAAATGGAGCCTTCCCTCACCTTCAAAGTCAGCCTAAAGATTCCACTATGAGCCCAAACAACAGGATTGTGTCTGATCTGAGGCCACAAACAGCCAGTCAACCAGCATCAATCCCAATGACAACAAAGCCAAACAAAATCATCAGTGGGATCCTCACAAGTGTTATCCCTAGCACCACTCCAGGATCCTCAAAGTCAAAGACAAATTCTGGCTCAGACACACAAACTGAGAAACATCACAAGATGGAAGAAATAGCTCCTGCATTCTCTACATCTCCTTCTCCCATATCTCACACCATCTCTCCACCCAGCCCTGACTTCAGGTCAACAACTGCGACCACCCCTGGCCCCGAGCACCCCGAGCTCGCTGCCGAGGCTTCCACTCCCAGTGCACGTGAGTTACGAGTGAAAATCAACCAGGTGGCTGCTTTCTTCAATAATAGCCTGAGTCCTAATGGCAGACCACCAAACATACACCACAAAGACCACTCAGAAGAGAACCAGGGAGGCATCAGGCCTGACAACACGGACGGCAAACTGCCAACAGACAAACCACCTAAAGGCAAGAGATTCTGTTTTATTCTATCACACTGATCCTGTTTTGTCTCTGTGTGCTTGTGAAATGTAAACTGTTTCTGCCAGTCAGCTGCAAGACATGTTAGTGATCAATGCAGATTATACTGGGCTTGAAATGCGAAGCACGCATACATTCAAGGTCCCAAGGCCGAGAAATGTGCAATGAATTGTGCCACATTAGTATCTGAATGCTTATTGCTTTATTACTACTCAAAAAGACATAAATAAGACCACTAATAATGACTTAAGCTGAAAGGAATTAAGCAATACAATCTCATAGTAAACTCTAATGATCCTCATAATATAATTATGTGGGCAGATTTGTATCATACATCACTGGCTATTATTTGTCAAAGGAGGAATCTGCATGTGTGTGAAATGTGTCGCTCCTAATGAATGTCATGACTAAAGATAAAACCACAACTATGCAAAGACCAACAGCTTTAAACCATCCTTTTGTGGAGAGCTGTTTACAGAGAGTGAACTCAACAAGTGGCTATTTTCCCCCAGCAATTAATTAAAATAACATTTACCAGCATCCATGACATCATAGAGTAAAAACAGAAGGTTAATAGGATTTTAAATGCATGCTTTTCTTTCTCTAACTGCCTGTTATTGCCTCATTTCACCCTTTTTTTTTAAAAAAGTCAGGAGGAAAATATAGGAAAGTTGGACTAGACAATCAAGTATTTTAAAGGTGAAATTATTAAACTTCCTTCACGTGTATGCCTCCAACACCATTTCTGTTTTAAACGATATCTTTTCATCTACCGTGGAGGTCCACTTTGAAGGCCCTCACACACTAACTCTTTTTATGGTGGAAAAGCCACTGACCTGATGCACTCGTGACCTCAGCCAGCTCATTTCACGAATAAATCCCAGCTGCGAGATGATAATATCACCTGGAATATGAGAGAGAGAATATGAGAGAAAAACAGGGCTTAAATAAATCAGGGCTTACTGGCTTTTTAAGAAATGTGTCATTTCTTCCATTGTGTTACAGTTACCATGCTACCGAGAGACTGCTCAGATCACCTGCTCAGGGGAAAAACAAAAAGCGGGCTTTACCTGGTGACCCCTGACCTCCGCACTAGTAGCTTCTCGGTGTACTGCGAGATGGAGCAGGAGGGTGGAGGGTGGACCGTCCTGCAGCGCCGCCAGGACGGCAGCGTGAACTTCAACCGCACCTGGGCAGAATACCAATCCGGCTTCGGGGAGCTTGACAGAGGGGAGTTTTGGCTGGGCAACAACATCATCCACCTGCTGACCCGCGACAGGGAGATGGTGCTGCGGGTGGAGCTGGAGGATTTTGACGGGTTGACGGGGTATGCGCAGTACGAGCAGTTCAAGGTGGCCAGCGAACGCCTGCGCTACAGACTGACAGTAGGCAGTTACTCGGGCACCGCAGGTAATGCTCTCCGCTTCAGCAAAAAGTACGATCACAGCAACAGGGCGTTCACCACGCCGGACAGGGACCACGACCGCTACCCCTCCGGGAACTGCGGGGCCTACTACAGCTCCGGCTGGTGGTTTGACGCCTGCATGAGCGCAAACCTTAACGGGAGATATTACGACGGGAGGTACAAAGGTGTGCGGAATGGGATTTTCTGGGGGACATGGCACAACATATTATCAGAGTACTACCCCACCAATGAGAGACAGTCTTTTAAGAGAGTGAGGATGATGATCAGACCTAAAGACTTTGTGCCATAAGATGTGCTGGGAAAAGAAAACAAGGGTTTAAATACCATCGTCAACGATAAGCCCGCAGGATACTCCATAAAAGTTTAATGAAATCTAGTGTACGCTCCACACTATTTAACCAGTAAGGCAATACTGCCGCCCTGTGGTGTTTTCTATAATGTGTTGTTTACAATAACAGGATGTATATACTAGTGACAAAAGCAGGGTTGCCTAGTTTCTTTTATAACCTTTCCATAATAAAGTGATAACATTGCTTTTGTCGAGAGGGGAATTTGAAAATGAAGGAAATCTTCATGTGAAGAGTTATTTTTCTACCAGTGATATGAATCCAAGGTGACCAGGTGCCCCACTTCACGGCATGGCATGTTTATCCTTTTGCCCCCCTCCACTCCAATCAAGGCCCCGCATTTTAAGAAACATGTGGCTCAGACAGAGATGTGGCGATCCGTGGATGCGTCCTTATCAAACAGAAATGACAAGTAGGAGTATTAGGACTGTAGAATAAGGAAATATAGGAGTGCACAAAGACTAGAAAGCTCGTTACATACGCATCGGTTTCAAATAAATCGTCATTCCTATCACACCGATGCCAACCCTGACACCAGCATAGTTTTTGTGTAATTATTTGTATTTATTTCGTCAGTAACAAAACAAATGGTTTGCCCCACATGTAGTATGTTGGGATCTGGTCACCGTGACGGGTATGTAGCATAAGAGACTTTTATTACATGTACTGGAAGGGCAGTTCATAGATTGAAGCTGTCTGTGGTGTGTTGAATGCTTTTGTTTCGTTAAAATGAATAAAATGAGTTTACAGAAGCATTTGCATTCAGTTCGTTTTCCTCTGTAATAATCAGCAGCACAGATTAGCCAAAATCCAATAACAAATATAGCTAAATTAAAAATAACTAGAAGTGCAACACCAGGGTCTTCCGACTCATGACGGGCTGCAACACCTCCACCATATTAGGCTTCGGTAACAGGGGTCCAAACTCATTTTTTTCCACACTCTTTGCGACGAACCTAACGTCACTTCCGACCTGATAGCGTAATCTACTGATTGGACAGGACCGGTAGAGGGGAGGTTCTAAGTTTGCGCCGTTTACGCAAGACTCTACATCCGGTTTGTTAAGCGTATGAGAGTGACACGGAGCAACACCAGAAGTCAATTACTTTCCCTTCAACCCAAAATCATAAACTTAAATAAAAAGTAAGGTGATGTGGAAAAGTATGATTTTTAATATTGGACAGTCCACAGAGCATAGAGAGTAGCAGAGGTTTTGGAAAGCTTGAGCTTAGTGCAAAGCAAATATGATGTTTCTTTTGAAAGATTGTTTAGAAATATTCAATAAAGTTTGTCAGCCGATTCCTGGCAATAGGTCCTGTTACGCTGACTTTGTGTCAGCACCTGAGAAATTACTAGTAGATTTTGGTATGATCCAAAATTTTAATGACCATCAAATCCCTGTGATTAATAATTAGTTAACAAAACGTGCTAATTATGTGCTATAGACTATAACTAAAATAGACATGACAGTAAACACAAAAAAGGTTCAGATGCTTTTCATAGTGGATGTTTGAGCTATATTTTTCATTAAAACAAATAAATCATTAATTTCACACTGTTCAGTGGACGATACACTGAACTTAGATGATAGAAACAATGTATCGATCCTACAGTGCTACAATGATATGATACCAACAGTATCGATAATACTGCTATTTAGATCAATCCGCCCACCTCGAGAAAATTAGTTCAATCCTGTGACGATATCTTTGTGATTAATTAATGCATACAATAAATGACTGGCAGATGCCAGAGTCAGGATTTAATGCGGACCGGATTTGCGAATGTGCCCAGAAAACTGTCTTCCTGAAATAAAAATATTTTTTCTGAACCCATAACGAAGCACTTTCTCACTGCAAACCTCAGGACAAGTGTTTCTGCTTAAAACATAAACATATTGCACAGAAAGGTAAATGAATAAGAGTTTAGTGTTGAAAGAGCTATTACCGAGGTGCTGTAAACACAGTATATACAGTTTTTAGGATCTCTTGTGCACATATTCTTCATGAAGCTTTTAATCTGAAATGTCATACCGGAAACGTTTTGTCTTGAAACCGTGCTTGCGCGGATCTCGAGTGAATGGCGTGTTTATAGTGGGTCTTGTGGCTACAGTCAGCCGTGGATTAGTTGATTTACCGAGATGTTTTGGGGATCAGCAGGTCAGCGGGGGTCTGTCGGGCTTCTCCGCTGCTGGTCCCTGACGGTCAGCCCCAAGACTCTCACACCCACCCGGTGTCCTCTGCACACTCCACGCTCGCTCTCGTTCTCTGCCCCTCTAAAGTCTCCTGCTCATGAAGAGGTGAAGCAGCCTCTGAGGCGGTGGGATCTGTCAGTGAGCCCCTTCACCACGGTGCGCGCACAGATAGGCTGCAACATATCCATCCACCCGCTGGACCCGCACACCTACCCCGAGGCTGATCGAGCCTTCATAACAGTCCACGGGCCAGACAAGGAGCAGGAAGTCAGTCTGGACCGGTTAAAGGTCCACTATGATGACCGGAGCAAAGAGCTCCTAATATCCGCTGAGACGGTGGACAGCGACGTGTCCATCGAAATGTCTGCACCCATCAAAAGCAGTGAGTGTGTCTATGACAGGGGATCCACACTAAAGTGATTCTGCGCTCTGCGTCTTTGAATAATTTCTGTATGTGAAATTTTGTCAGATCTCTTCATTACTACTCAAGGAAAGGGAAGCGTGCAAGTTAAGAATATGGAGTGTGATATCTGCAAGGTGCGAACAGAAAAGGGGAACTGCCTGCTGCACTCTGTCAAGGTGGGTATTGGCAACACATGTCAGGCCTGCAATTAGTCGGTCCTACTTGTTGGAGCAATTTACCCACACTATGTCTTTCTCCAGCCTGCTTATGTTACAAAGACAAAGCCAAACCACACACTCTTCTGCTAAAACAGCTCGGCCCTGACCTTCATCTATCAAAACATTTACTGACTGTGACTGTTGATCCTTAAACACTTGAGCTGAAGGCAAGTGGACTTCTTCACTGGCCTGTGAATCAGGTTGTAATTCCCCTGCAATTAAACTGATTTTCCATGTATTTTACCTGAATTTACGATGCAGTTATATTTACCTGCAAAGACTTGGCTCAAAATTCAAGTTTTTACAGGAACGAAGAAATAATTAAACTCCAAGCAATTTTCAGTCATGTGTAGTTTTTGGGTATTTTAGTGAAAAGACAAACAAAATTTCCCCATCTTACACTGTAAATGCCCTGCACCTTTATATTGTAGTGGCTTCACCTTGCCTTTTTACATTTTGCATGATCCATTATATTGATGTGCATCATGCATGCTCCACTATTCAGCTGTCCTCTTTTATTTATGGTTCTTATTTGTTTTTGTTTTTTAATGTCTCTGTAAAACCCTTTGAATCACTTTGCTGTTGAATTGAATTGCTATATAAATAAACTTGCCTTGCCTTACATATAAAATATGTCATGAGGACTTGTTTTTTTAACAATCCTGGAAATTATGCACTACTTAAATTACTAATGTAATACTTGAAATGGCTCACAGTATAATTAGTCTTTTTTTACGTCAAAATACCTGAAGTTACACCCTTTGGAGGTAGTCCTGAAAATTGTCCTGTGAGTCATTAAGGTCACACCGGTCAAGGTACAAGTTGTTGGAAAGACATCTCAAGACTGGATCACAGGTGGCTGGCAGTTTATGTTGTAGGCCACCACCTTTGTTCAGTGTCAGTTGTTCCTTTTCTGTTATTTCAAATCATCTGTCTTCTCTATGCAAACTGTGAGCATCCTGAAAAGAGCGCCCTTTCTCATCTTTTCCTGTCTTATTTCAGGCTCATCAGGTTGAGGTGCAATCCCACGAAGGGCATGTTACAGGTGTGGGCACTATCAATGGCAATGTGGTCATCAGCACTGGCGGAGACAGTGTAAGGATGACTGTTATTTCTACGTGTTAGTCCTTATACTCAGCAGTCATTAGGGGGCAGCAGTACCCTGAAATACGCGTTAGCAGTGTTGAGTTTCATGTTTTCCTTTTTTTTTTTTTTTTTTTTTGAGGCTATTACTTAAAACAAACAACATCAAAAAAGCTGCGATTATACATCATGTACATCCCTGTGTAGTGATCAGTTGTACGTTTACAGGCAGTGGATGTCAAGAAGCTCCAGGGCACCAAGATGAATGTGTCAACAGAGCACGGCCCTCTGAAGGTCAAAGCCATCTACGCGGAGTCCACCTGCATCTCATCCCGTTCGGGGAGAGTGAACCTAGGGCACGTGCACGGTGAGCAAAAGCGAGCGTCCATCATTCATTTTTAATAAAAACTTGTATCTTAATGAAATTACATGTGTGGTTATTACGAAAGCCAGAGTCCAATGCAAAGTGAGCCAATAAGTAATTAAATACTTAGACTCTACTACACATTAGATTGTTTAGATTATGATAGTTTAGTTTTTAAGTAAATGTATATATTTTTTGCCAGTGGATAAAAATATCAAATGAAGATCTCATTGCCAGCTATTGATCCCAACAGTGTGTGAAATTGGAACAAATACAACCGACCTGAGTATTAAAATACTGTTGGCAGGTTAACACACAGGCAATAATAATCTAAAGTAACACAAAATGGGTAAATCTGCACAAAGAGGTTGCTATTTTCTACACACTATATTACATTGCAGCACATTTTGTACTCAGCTGCTTTATGTTACTTGCTTGGTAAAGCAGGACTTTGGTATGTCTGGAATCCCGGGCTCGGATCAGAGGTGATTTTAACTGCAATGTGGTTGTAATTTATCCGCTTATCCAGCTTGTTACTCGTTTCTGAAAAGCTATGAAACAATGTAGTTTTAAGAAGACTAATTCTTCAAAGTCAAGATGAGATCAGAGCTTTGTGATGTGTAGTAAGAAAAATGCACCATTGATGCAGACGTTTCCTTTTCTTCCTGATAATGATGAGCCTCAGACTCCAACACATGCATGGAAACAATTATCTTGTTGACTTAGAGCTGCAGGCTTGTTATATCTACAGTCTTAGAAGTGTTATCATTAATTATGTGCTTTCATTAATTAAAGGTGAGACTACTGTGAAGAACGCGTGTGGAGATACAGTTATAGGTGAGCAAGTCGACCGACTGCACATTGCCCTTTATATGGTCTCCGTCAGTGGAAGCAAAACAAAACACCCGAGGCTTTGCTTTTTCAGATGGTTCAAATAGCTTCCTGAAGGTTTCCTCTGACAGCGGAGGCATCGATGTCTACGTGGGAGACGGTGGCAGTGCTGAGCTTCACAGTCAGCAAGGTAAACACACATTACAAGAACAACTTTGTCTTTATTTGACACAACTTTCTTTGTTACATCTTTTGAGTCATATTGTTTTTCTCCTTCGTTCTGTGTCTTACGTAGGAGCGGTGAGCGTGCGTGTGCCGTCCTCATTAAGAGCTGGGGTGAGGCTTTGTGGGACGTCGGTGGATATCAGCCCAGAGGTTGTTCTCCATGGAGTAGAAAACAACACGTCTGAAGGCCACACCACCGTTACTGGTAAGCTCGTAACCTTCTTTATAACGCTTCCCTGTGGCACAGTTAATGCCATATCCTAAAACAAGTAATCCCATACACAATGTTCTGTTCATAATCCGCCTCTGCTTTGTTTTCCTCCTACTTTTATGTGCCCTGTTCTGTGTTTTTTACAGGCTACATGAATGTAGAGTCTCCGGCTAATCAGTGGGTTAAAGCTCAAGCAGACAGAGGCTCCATCAGACTGACCGTACAAAGCTGGTTTGAGTCCCGGAGGCTAGTCAGCTGAATGTCCCGTTTTTTTCCTAGAATCATAATGATGCATCGCTGAACTGGGACTTAAAAAATGTACAAGAAAGAGCCAAACATTACTGCAGCTGTAAGAGACTGAATGCTTATTTAACGCAGGATATACTGCATTATAATCTGAAGTATATTACAAATGTTCTATGTGTGTAAGAAGCCACTGTACATACAGACTGCAGTGAGATTATGTGTGCACAAAACCGTTGGAGTGTTTTGGATGTTTAAAAAAAAAAAAAGAAAGTTTTGCTCATATTTTCTTTTTTTCTTTTTTTTGTCCAAGTTTACCGAATGTTACTGGAAGCTACCTCAAACTATGAAAGCACCGTTGAATACCTTGCACCTCTCCACTGTTACCCTTGTGTTCACCTCTAATTAATTATAGAGTCACATATTTGGAAATATTACTTTAAAACTGAATTTTGCAGCTAGCAGCATGTCAGTAGCATGATTGGGTTCAAGTACAACATTTTACGCAGTTTCCCAGAAGTAAACACGTGCAGAGGTTTACCAATCTGCAAACTGTGGAACGATTTTAGAATAATGTTCCTGAACATAAAATTGTAAATATCTTGAATATTATAAAGAGACTCTGGAGAAATCTCTGTTGCGCAAAGGACAAGGCCAAAAATTGATGCTGGCTGCGTGTGGTCTTTGGGCTCTTGGATAGCACCGCATTAAAAACAGACACGATTCTGTCATGAAAATCAGTACGTGGGCTCAGGAGCCCTTCCAGAAACGGGTCATAGTTTGCAGCGCCATCCAAAAATGCAGGTTAAAGCTCTGTCGTGAACATAATACAGAAATCCCACTGTCTTCTTTGGACTAAAGCCCATCAAACATGGATTGAGGCAAAGTGAAATACTGTTCTGTGGTCAGACAAATTTAAATTTGTAATTGTTTTTAAAAACTTTTGGATGCTGTATCCTCTGAACTAAAGAGAGGATCGACCATCTGGCTTGTTGTCGGTGCTCGGTTCAAAATCCTGCATCTTTAACAGTATAAGGGTTCATTAGTGACTGATGGCAGCTCGCACACGGAAAAGTACCGTCAACGCTGAAAGATGCATATAGGTTTGCGAACAACATGCACCGCCATTCATTTTCAGGAAGAACTACAAATTTCATTAAAGCAAGTTCAGCATCTGTTAGAACAGCATGACTTCGTAGTAGAAAAGTGCTGAACTGACCCAAAGTCCAGACTTCACTTATTAAAAACATTTGGTGGATCATCATCGTCAGACCCAGCAGTGCCGAGCAGTCAGAATCCTATATCAGTCAAGAATGAGACAACATTCCTCTCCCAGACGTCCAGCAGCTGGTCTCCTCAGTTCTGAGACATTAACAGACTGTTGTTAAAAGAGGAGATGCTACACAGTGGTAAAAATGGCACTCTGTCAAATATGAGATGCTTTTCTGCCATTAAATTCAAATTGAGTAGTGACTCTATAGTGTGGTCCATGCCAAATTCCTTTGGAGTTGTGTCAGGAAGGACATCTGGTATTTAAAATAAATCAGATGGGAATAAGGAAGCAGTAGAAAAAAGCTTCACCATCTATGGGATAAAATGTACATCACCCAAAATTGGAACAGTAAACTTCTAAAGCAGGGGTCTCAAACTTGTGGCCTGGGGCCCACTTGCAGTCCACCTCACCCACTCACGTTTGCAGTTTTGTTATACAATATTTGAAATGAAAACAAAAAAACGAAACACTACATTTTTGGAAATATTTGTGGGAGTTTTCTTGTTTGATTTTGTACTACTTGAAGACTAAAGTGGTCCTCCAATGAGATGACAGTGCCAGCAGTGGCCCACGACTCATTTAAGTTTGAGACCCCTGTTCTAAAGATTATGTTGAGACATTTCTGAATTTGAAGCAAACTTTGAATTCAGTCATTTCAGACCAATGATGGCCGGAAACATCAAGTCCATGAGAAACTGTGCATATAAATAGGATTTCCAGTGAGAAAAGGTTGCTATATTATTAATAGATAGGACCGCAAACTGGCTCCTGAAGTAAACTAGTACACCACTTCAACTGTGCTGTTGGAAACTGATGAAATGTGTCAGCAAAGCAGGTAAAACTTTGTGTTGTAGGCTTCTGTCCCAACAGGTACAGACCAGAAAGACCACACAGGTAAAATTCTGTTTATTTCCTGCATGGACTTATTGCAGTTGTCATTACTGATTACTGCTTTGCTACTTCTGATGGATCATCACTTGCTGGGTTTTGTGACCAGATGCCCCATGTTGTATCCAAACCAGTATGGAGGGGTGTCGCTGCTGTGCTCCCAGTATGTCACACGTGGCTGAAGTTTGGAGGCAGCTGCCCTGAGGAAACACACCTTCATCGATCGGTTCAAGTTTTGGGCAGGAGTTTAGCTTTGCTGTGAACTTTTAAGAGCATGCCGTACCTCGAGATGCCGCTGCAGCAGGCCATCGTGATGGAACTGAGTGGAGGACAAATTCTTTCCAAGTACCGAAGTGTGAGATCTGTGAGAAGAACACAACCACTCACATCAAGCTCTCGCAAGTACTGAGATCCACTTGTCAGATACTGCACGGCCATATCGGTCATCTGAGGCAGGGGGAGAAAAATGAAAAAATGTCATGAAATGACAAGAAGAAAGGCAGTTCCTTCAACTGGGTAACATTAAATGCCTTAGTAATGTGCACGTTTATACCTTAAAACAGCCGACCATCCGCAGTGCGACCAGGCCTCTGCAGTAAAACGAAAAGGCTCTGACGGCTGCGTCAGACAGAGCCACACAATGAGAGATATCGACATGTTCCAGGTCTGTCACATTCTTGCACAGCTTCTGCTCATTGTGAGAAACAAAGAAAATGAGAGATGTGTGATGAAGTGTTACTGATTAGAAAATAAATGAGGACTAAACATGGAGGAAATTGGAAATCATTTCTTCAATGGTGTTGGCTTGTTGAAAGCAAAAGATTCTTTGAAATAGCTGTGGAAAAAGAGAAGGGTTTCATTTTGTAAAACCATTAGTCCAGGAAAAGGTTTGGATACAATTGTAATTCCCATCAGTTGTCAATGTTATAAAACAATGTGAGAAGAAGAAAACTTGGACGCTGAACAGTTGGCTGAGATTCCAGATAAATATGCACCTTAATTCCAGCGTCTGTGACAGAGAAGCACTTGGCAATAACCAATTTCCTCAAGGGAATTCCCTCAAGAGTGGCCAGTCCCTAAAAATGCAAATACCCAAGTTACAGGCTGTTCTTCAAATTCAAATCTTCAGCAATGCGTGAAAACAAGAGCAAACATGGTAACAGTACTTGATCCTGGATGTTGCAGCTGCTGAGGTCAAGTGAGCAGAGAGAGCTCCCACCCAGCCACTCCACGGCCGAGTCCGTCAGCCTCTCGCAGTAACTCAGATTGAGATGGAGAAGTTTACACAACCTAACAAGTTGGAAAAAACGCAAACAAAAGCTGCTTTATGATAGTATTTAGGCTCAGTTCTGGGTAAATACTCATGAAAAAAAAAACCTGTCATATAATCAGAGACGTAACTGTGTGTACCTTTGTGCAATCCTCATGACAGAGATGTCGGTGATGTGACTGCAGTGACTGACATTCAGTTCTTGCAGTTCATTTGCTGAGCAGCCTTTAGTCAAATACTGCACCCCAACATCAGTCACCCTGAAACACATTATTTAAAGAAATGTAAAGAAAAAGGTATGAAAAGTGAGACTTCGGTCATCACAAACAAGCACACACCTGTTGCAATACGAGATGTTAAGATACCGCAGATGTTGGAGGGAGGCTACAGATTTGAGGCTTGCGTCAGTCATCCCGGGGCATTCTGCTGCGTGGAGCCTGCGGAGACCTGGTGAGCTTCTGAACAGGGCGTTCCAGATCAAGTCTGTGAGCTGGTAGTTGCCTAACGCACAAGCATTGTGTACAACATAGTGGAGAATAACTGGAGCAGTATTAAAACTCTTCACACAATGGGGAAACAATTATTTGATCCCCTGCTGAAATTTTAAGTTTGCTCGCTTGAAAAAAAATGAACAGCCTCTTAATTTTTATTGTAGTTCCATTTTAATGGAAAAAGACAGAAATCAACCAAAACACATTACATACAAGTTATAAATTGATTTTTTAATGTCATTGAGTGAAATGAGTATTTCCACCCCAAGCAAAACATGACCTAATACTTGGTGGAGAAACCTGTGTTGGCAGGCACAGGTAGGTCACCAGGTTAGGACACATCTTAGGAGAGACTTTGGCCAACTCCTCAGTTTGGCCTCTGCTTGGGCACTCAAAGCTTCAAGTCCTGTAGAATTGTCCTGTACCAGTATCAGAAAAAAACAGTCCCAATGGATAATGTTTCCAAGTCCATGCTTCACTATCGGGATGGTATTTTTTGGGTCATACTCAGTACTTTTCTTTGTTCAAACGTAACGGGTTGAGTTAATACTGTAAAGCTTGATTATAGTTTCATCTGACCACAGCACTTTCTCCCAAGCCTCATTTAGATGTTCACTGGCAAAACTTACATGTGGCTTCTTGAGCAGGGGGACCATGTGGGTTCAATCCATTATGGCGTAGTCCAGGGGTGGGCAACTCCAGGCCTCGAGGGCTGGTGTCCCTGCAGGTTTTAGATGTGTCCTTGAACCAACACAGCTGATTTAAATGGCTAAATTAGCTCCTGCAGTTCTCCAGAGGCCTGGTAACGAACTAATCATGTGATTCAGGTGTGTTGACCCAAGGTGAGATCTAAAACCTGCAGGGACACCGGCCCTCAAGGCCTGGAATTGCCCACCCCTGGCGTAGTCTATTGCCAAGCTGATTAACAAGGTCCTCCTGTGTAGTTTTGTGCTGATCCACACACAATTTTCACCCCATGAGGCATCGTCTTGTATGGAGCTCCAGAATGAAGGACGAGCAATGATCATTTTATAGTTTTTCTATTTCTGAATAATTGCACTAATAGTTCTCACCAAGCTTCTTGCTGATGTTGTTGTACCTCATTTCAACCTTTCCCAGGTCTACCATCTTGCCCCTGATGTCCTGTGGCAGCTCTTTGGTCATGTCTATGATGGTGGAGAGGTTGGAATGGACAAAACTGATTATGTGGACAGGTGTGCTTTGTACATATAATGAGTTGCAATCAGGAGTATCTTTGTTTGACTGACTGAAATCTGTGTGCAACTTGGGCACACAACCAATCTGTGGAATCATGAATTATTCAAATACTTGTTTCACTCAATGGCACTTAAATCAATTTGTAACTTTGATGTAATGTGTTTTTTCTGGATATTTCCTTGATATTCTGACTCTCCTTTTAAATGAAGCTACCATAAAATTTAGAGACTGATCATTTCTTTATAAGCCGCAAACTTACAGATACAGCAGGGGATCAAATAATTATTTCCCCCACTGTGCGTGTATTGAAATGAAGACTGTGGGATGTGATCGCACCCTCTATGCTGAAAGACTTCAGTTTGGCTGCTTCAGCAACAGCTTTGAAAGCGATATCGGAAAGATGTGGTGCATCCAGCAGAGAAATAGCAGACAAGCAGTGACATCTGGTAAGGAGGGCCTGTTAGAGAAGAGCAACATGGGGTTAAGGGTGTGGGTACAAAGAATTATGCACAAGATAAGACACATTCATGTGCCATGATTTACACTCACCAGGACACAGCTATCTGAGAGCGTGAGCATGTCGTTGATCACAATCTCTTCAAGTGCAGGACATCCAGCAGAAATATATCTGAACCCAGCCACGGTCAACTAGGAGGAGAGGGGAAAATCTGTGTCTATTTCTTCATCTTAATCAGTCTCCTGGATGCACTTTTCCTCATTCACAGAATTTTCAGGGCCCCATAAAACTATACATCTGGAAGCAAACTAATACGCATTCCCAGAAGAGTGTCTTTCATGTTGCAGTACGTGGGTTACGTTACAGAGTGTACACATGCTGAGTGGGTGGGCCAACCCAAACCTCTGCTTGGCCACAGCTGCCTTTTCCTCTCTTCTGCTCATTCGCTCGGAGCTCTCCCCGAGTGCAAACCCCAGCAACGCCAGGAACAAGAGAGAACACGTGCAAACAGACGAGTGACTGGATTTGTTCAAGACGGACTGAGGAGGTCAAAAGCCATTTGCTGTTTTCAGCTGAATTTGAGTGGAGCAGCTGAGAGAAACACATCAACTGACCTGGGTGCAGCCGGACAAGTTGAGGTGGATGAGATTGTGGCAGCCCTTCCCTGTGGCCAGGTACAGAAAACCTTCGTCTGTGAATCTATCGCAGTAGGCCAGACTCAGATACTGAAGGCTCAGGCAGTTTCTGTTAGATGTAAGAAATGATGAAGGCAAATTATTTGTGTTAATGAGCCTTGTACAGATCATAGCTGGTTGTTTGGTTGTTTGTTTTTAGCACAAAAAAGTTACATTTGAAAAGAAAGCCTTGGCATAAAAAAAGGAAAATGTCATTGTCAATTAAAGGTGAGCATCCTCACATTATTCTGTGGGAAAATGTGAATCAGATAGCATTGCATAATACTACAAGCTGTGAGAGAGCAACACCATCACGGAAATTGATCAACCTGTCATACAATTATGCAGTGTAGCATCTGTTTCTCTAAATCATTTTGCTGGCACAGACCGCATTCATTTCGGACATGAAATACAAGCCAGCTGTGGGCTTCAACTGGACAAACAGACACGTAGATAATTCTGGAACCTGAGGGGCGGGATGCCATCAGAAAGAAACATTATGCACACCGATACACCGTTTGTAGCATCTTTTAAATCTATTCTGTTGACAAAGTCTAAATCACTGATGGTTTTACCACAAATGGAGACCTACCTGGACAGCTCTTGTAGAGTTTTGTTTGTTAAGAGGGTGCAAGAAAGGTTCAAGTAGAGCAGGCAGGGACAGCCCTCCAAAATTCTCTGGACCATCATATCCTACAAAAGGAGAGATTGAAATGTTCCCATCCAACCAGGAAGGAACCTGTTACTAGAATCTATATTTGGAAAACTGACCATTGCCTGTTTATTTATCGGCGGATGAAATCAATTAGAATCAGGGTTTTGTCAAGGTTTAGAAAATCAAAGTCAAACTTTAGAAAACTGTAAATGTGCACATACAAAAGCAAGATGCATTTTTCTGTAGCTTTAAGATGTTCGTTGTTAACATGTTCACTTACTGTAACATTAAAGCACTCAGACACATTGAGCTCCTGCAGGTTTCTGCATTCACCTGCAATAAAACAGTGAGCAGTATAGAACAGATACATGTTTACTTGTACTATGCTGAATATTTTTTGAAATACTTTATGACTGTATCTTAATGAATGAACAAGTATTGTCATAGTAATCCACTGTATTTTAAAGCTGTACATACACCAGTCAGGAATAACATTTTGACCACCTGCCTAATATTGTGTTGGTTGCTGTCAAAACAGCCCTGACCATCGAGGCACGGACTCTACCAGACCCCTGAAGGTGTTTCTGTGGTATCAGACACCAAGATGTTAGCAACAAATCCTTTAAGTCCTCTAAGTTGTGTGTTGGGGGATCCGTGGATTTGACTTGTTTGTTCAGCACATCCCACAGATGTTAAATTAGATTGAGATTTGGGGAATTTGGAGACCAAGTCAACAACTTAAACTCATCGTTGTGCTCTTCAAAAAGTTCCTGAACCATTTTTGCTTTGAGACAGGGTGCATTATCCTGCTGAAAGAACACAGCAGAACATTGCCCAAAGCATCACACTGCCTCCACCAGCTTGCCTTCTTCCTACAGTGCGTCCTGGTGCCAGGGGTTCTTCAAGTAAGCGACACACCTGCACCCAGCCAACCATGTGATTTATAAGAAAACATGATTCACCAGACGAGAACACCTTCTTCCATTGCTCCATGGTCCAGTTCTGATACTCATGTACCCCTTGTTAGTTTATTTTTGAGCAAACTGCGATGGACTGTGTATTCTAACACCTTTCTATCAGGACCAACGCTAACTTTTTCGGCAGTTTAAGCTGAAGTAGCTCGTCTGCTGGATCGGACCACACAGGCCACCCTTCGCTCCCCACAAGGATCAGTGAGCCTCGGCCTCCCATATTCATTCCTTGAACCACTTTTGATAGGTACTGACCGCTGAAGACCAGGAACACCCCACAAGCTGCAGTTTTGGAGATGTTCTGGCCATCATAATTTGGCCCTTGTCAACCTCGCTCAGATACTCACGCTTGCTTGTTTTTCCTGCTTCTAACACCAACTTTGAGGACAAAATGTTCACTCACTTGATAACATAGAGATAAGTGTTATTCACTTCACCTGTGATTGGTCATAATGGTATAACAGATTGGTGTGTTACCTCTCACTTCTGCAGGGATGACAGCTCCTGTGTACAATCAACAATAACAAATTTGCCCTTTGACCTGTTATTTCCGTTTCCCAGTTTGAAAACTTTCATCAGAAGCTGATTTGACTCCAGTTCATCTTGCTGAAGAGACAATCCCCCCTGCAGGGTTCAGGATGCGTGCAATCCCCCCTCTCCTCTTATTCTGCCTTTTCCTCCTGCTGCTCCCATCCATCCAGATGAAAAAACCAGGAAAGGGCAGAGGCCTCAAAGGAGCAAGGCACAAACTCACACGGGACAGGTATGGATTACTCCTACATTTAATTTGATTTCTGCAGCCCATTTTTCACAGATTAATCAGCTGTTTGTGTTTTAATCGTCAGGGCAAGAGGTCCTCGCCGTCACAGCAGGTCAGGCCCATCTGGTCTTGTGTCACCCAACTGTTTAGAGTCACCAGAATCTGGGCATGTCTTTGTAGACTGCCAAGAACGGCGTCTCTCTTTTATTCCCACCGCAAACACATGGTCCAACAAACCCAAGCACCTCCTTCTAGCCCGTAACCGAATTAAAGTCCTTCATGATGGAGCCTTCCTCGGATACGAGAATTTAGATAGTCTGGACCTGCAGCAGAACCAGATCTCTCTAGTGGAGGATGGGGCCTTCCAGGGTCTGACAAAGCTTACCACCCTGCTGCTTCAGCACAACCGCCTCCAAACACTTAGTGAGGAGGTTCTCATCCCCATGCCAAACCTTGGCTACTTGCGTTTATATGATAACCCCTGGAACTGTCTCTGCCCAATTGATAGTCTTGTACGCACTCTTCAGGTGCCAAGCAATCGTAATCTAGGAAACCACGCCAGGTAAGTGATTCCAACAAAACTCAATATGTAGTGTGCACTTTTTAAGTCATTACTCAGTGTCCAAATGTCCCCTCTGCTAGGTGTGCCAAGCCCATCTGGTTAAAAAACATGAAGTTGAAGCACGTTGATCCTGAGTTACTCTGTAAAGAACCAGACCCGGCCAACAACCAACAGAGTGATGAAACGGGTTACACGGGCGTTTTAGAGCCCAGTTCAATTCGAAGCAAACCAGATGCTACTACAGTCTGCTTCACCTACCATTACCCCCAAATACGGATGGACTGCAGTAACCGAGGCAAGCTCTCTGCACTCTACCCTCCTCTCCTCTGAGCCATTTCCTGAGAGGTTTATCACATGTGTTTTTGTTATGTAAGAGAGGGGTTAGGAAAAATACCTGCGACTGTCAGTATGCTCATGATTAAATATTGCTGTTGCTTGGCTGGGATGACTAAACAACTCACTCAAAGAATTTTCACAACCCAACGTAAAACAAGCAAACATGCACGTGTGGGTTTGCAAATGTGTGCTTACTTAACCTCTTATATTATCACTTTATAGGAGTTTGTCACCTTATAAATTTGAAAAGAAAGCCAACATCTGGCTTTTTTATGAGAACAGTCCTATTAAAATAGAAAACCATTTGTAGTGCGTCCAAAAAAGGACTAAATTAGATGTACTACTATCATCCTGCTGGCCCGAAGCCTGGATTTTAGTGTTTAACTCATTTTCTGGATAGAAACAGAACTCCAATTTGTCTCTGCGCTACATTTTAGTTACTAATCATCCAGTAGTGGAACTTGTGCTGACTTCTTGGAGCACTCTTGGGTTTGACCAATTTGAATTGAATGCATGAAAGATTGAGCTGAACATATAGATAAAGCTTTTTCTGCATTTATTTATGCTCAGGTTTAACTGAGGTGCCCTCAGGTATCCCCGACAACGTTGTCCACATCGACCTGTCGCATAATTCGATCAGTCACCTCAAAGCTAGAGACTTTCATGCCGCGAAGAGTCTCCGAACCCTTAATCTCAGCAATAACAACATGGAGCACCTGGACAAAGGTAAGCATGCTATTATTACCTATTTTCTAATAATCAGGGAATACAACAGCATGTACGGCGCTCAGTAGGTTTGTATCCACATGCACAACTGCAAATTTGTATACGCCACTTTCTTTATGTGATGGATACCATATGGATATGCAAAGTCAAAAGGTTAAGAACAGTTATGCAACTCTTGCCGCCTTCTGTTTCCCATTTTGTGTTTTCAGAGACAGCGGGCGTTCTGCCATCGTTCTGTATACTGTAATAATTTAATTTATGGTGGGGAAAGCTTAGGAGGTTGAAGACAAAGTGATCAGTGTGGTGAAGTTATTCAGACACACACTGAAGACAGGCTGAGCATTTATATTAAAGTCTGACTGCACTACTTTTGCTCTTCATATAGTTATACTGAGAGAGTCAAGAAGCTAACGGAAGCTGTGCCCATGAACCTCTGCTTTCTCTCTCTCACTCTCAGGCTCTCTGACTGGGCTCTTGCATCTCCAGGAGCTGGACTTGTCAAACAACAACCTGACGTTTGTCCAGCACGGGGTTCTTGAAGACCTCTACTTCCTGTTACATTTAAAACTGGAAGGAAACCTCTGGGTGTGTGACTACAGGTGGGTTCCTCAGCTCAAATTTTTATAAGCATCTTTTTTCAATGTTAAATGCTGACAAGTTAACTAAAAACTCCCTGCCTTTTTTCAGCATTCAATACATGGTTTACTGGCTAAGCCTCCATCCAGGAGTGAGTCCTTCAGGCCTGGTGTGCTACTCTCCTCTGGAATATGCTGGGGAGAGCGTGGAGGAGTATGTGAAAGCTTACAACAGAGAGTGTCCAAAGCAGCAAAGCAGGCCAGATCAAGACCAGACAGACCCCAAGCTCTGGAACACACTGATGGAAGCACAGGCAGAGCTGGAGGAGGAGGAGCTGGAGCCGAGCGCCTTGAGGGTGCCGCAGAAATACCAGATCATCAGATTGTCCTGACTCAAGTTAAAATATGAACCTTAAAGGCTGTTTGTTTTGCCTTCATTAACCTGTTCTGTAATTTGTAAAGCAAAAAGTCTGCATCAGATGAAAAAACTATTTTTTTGTTGCTTTTATGTGTTATCGGTGTTGTGTTTGTAATTCAAATATATAAAGATCGACATTTTGATTAGTTTGACTCATTATTGTGGTTATAATAATAATAATAATCATAATCATAATCATAATGCAAATTGCATTGATCATTGCACACCTGCATATAAACCACCTTAAATCCAGCATTGAACACTTACTGACAAATCTCAGGCTGGACCACTGCAGGGACGTGCAGCCACGCAGGTTAAGATGGGTCACAAATAAACGGTAACTCTGCAGAATGTTCTTCACTGTGCTGTCTGTTATCCAGTCTTTGGCCACAGATAGGTTGATCTAGTAAGAGCAACAATTAGGGGACATCCAGACTCTTGCTATTTAAACTAAAAAAAATTTAACAGCATCATAAATTAAACACAAGAAGTAATCTCTGAGTGCAGACCTGACTCCACAACACGCCCGACTGGATGATAGATTTCCATGTGCAGCATACTTCAGCACAGTTTAGCAGGTCTTGTAATTCTAAGTACTGAAAGATCTGAGGATTAACATAACAAATCATCTTTTTTTTTAATCACATGGAAAAACAGCAGACAAATGACACTTGACTTTTCTCTGAATACTTAAAGGGAGTTACAGTAAAACTCTGGTTTATAATGTTGTTGCCATGAGGTGATGAAATATTACAGTTAGGTTTGTAAACTTTTAACCAAACATTGAAGCATACTTAAAATAAAAACAATATTTTTTATAAAACACAGACGTGGACATAGGATGTAGACACCATTTTTTGTATAAATACAACTTTCTCGCTTTCTGTTTGATGTTATTGGCCCTCTGACAGGGTCTGCTGGCACCTCTGCCAGATGTGAACAAGCACCCAAAGCCAAACATAGTCATGCTGAAACACTGTTCATCAACCGAGGACAGAAACAAATTCCACACAAACAGACGCTTCAACTGGTGAGTGGAGTCAGTGTTGGTGAGTGGCTATATATATATA